TTCTTAAAGGCAAATAGGAAGGGGAAAATGAACGTCTTGGGGACCTCTTTTCCACCTTATTTTCAACCTATGGCATTGCATAACTAAAAAATCTTAGCTCAGTTTCGTAGAGACCTCTTTTCCACCTTATTTTCAACCTATGGAATTGCATAACTAAAAAATGTTAGCTTGGTTTCATAGAGTCACAGAATGGTTCAGGTTGGAAGGGACCTTAAAGATCATCCAGTTCCAACCCCCTGCCCTGGGCAGGGACACCTCCCACCACACCAGGTTGCTCCAAGCCCCATCCAACCTGGCCTTGAACCCCTCCAGGGATGGGGCAGCCACGGCTTCTCTGGGCAACCTGGGCCAGGCTCTCACCACCCTCACACCAAAGGAGTTGTTCCTGAGATCTCATCTAAATCTCCCCTCTTTCACTTTAAAAACATTACCCCTGGTCCTATGGCTCCACTTCCTGATCAAGACCCTCCCCATCTCTCCTGGAGCACCTTTAGGGACTGGAATTCTGGAAAAAATTGTTAATGGCCACTCCCATTAGGTAGGTTAATGTCCTACTATAAGGTACTGAACTAAATCAAGGAGTTTCTAATGTAGGAGAAAGCAGGATATTGTAGCAGCCATGTCATTGTCTTCATTCATTATTTCGGTTTAGGTCTCGCCACCAAACAATACCCTCATTTTACATCAGTTGAGTTCATAATTAGTCTCATCACTTAACTCTCTCCCTCCCAGCCAACTGCACAGCTCTGTCCCTCCAGCCAGTCCCTCGCGCTCCCCCAGGGCTGCTGCCTTGTGACTGGTGGCACTGGTCGATGCAGCCATCCATCTGCCTGACGGCTCTAACCCTACGTCCTTTTTTCCTTTCCTGAACTTTCCTGAAAGGAAGAAGAAATTTAAATATATTTTGGAGCTCTGGAGCTGCGGGCGCTCCCAGCGAAGGATGCGAGACGTGAGGATATGCAGTTAGGGAAGCACCCCCATCAAAAAAACTATAATATGGCTCTATTGGTTTACATCCCCCCCCGCCCTCCCCAAAACCTTTCGGCTGTCCCGATTTGCCTTGATCTTTAATCAACGGAATGCTCTCTGCGGGGAGGTATTCAGGGAAAGGACAGGTCACCACAAGAGCCAGCCGAGAATAACGGAGCTGTGCCATCAGCCCCTGCTGGAGAGCAGCAGGGAATAGAGGGAGAGCTAAAAATAGCCTCTCCTTGCAGTGTTTTTCCAGACTATTTTTTGAGTCTTCATTTTCGATAAGGTCGGCTGGCTCTGCGGCTAAAAATAACCCACCCCGGCAAGCTGAGGACAAAAAGTAGAGTATTTATAACCACCTCAAGACTCTTCAGGACATTTGTCGGCCGCAGATGATCTTGGCAGGGGTCAGTCGCCAGCGCCTGATGTCAGTCAGTAATAAATAAAGCATTAATTGGAATGAAGAACGGGTGTTACCTCCCTGCTTGGATTTTCTCAGGTGGAATACGCATCTTTTTTGGGGATTTTTTTTTTAATCCCTGTAGGTTACCTCGTGTTACCTCCCCGCTCGGATTTTCTCAGGTGGAATACGCATCTTTTTTGGGGGATTTTTTTTTTTTATCCCTGTAGGTTACCTCAATAACCACCTCAAGACTCTTCAGGACATTTGTCGGCCGCAGATGATCTTGGCAGGGGTCAGTCGCCAGCGCCTGATGTCAGTCAGTAATAAATAAAGCATTAATTGGAATGAAGAACGAGCGTTACCTCCCCGCTCGGATTTTCTCAGGTGGAATACGCATCTTTTTTGGGGGATTTTTTTTTTTTATCCCTGTAGGTTACCTCACCCTGTTCCTTCACGATGCTTCAGGAAGAACCCAACCCCTGCTAGGTCAGCTGAAATTACACAAGACAAGCTGTGCGTGCAATTAAAAGTGCAAAAAGCAGCTTTACCCTTTTACGTGCAGAAATTTTAAGGATGGGAGGACGATTCCCATCTCTCCCCCCAGGACAAGGTGGTTTTCTTTTTCAGCCAGCCCTCCTGTGCCACCACATCCCTGATGGGATGAAGTCACCGCTCCGCCAGCAGCACAGGGATTCTGTAACCAAGTAACTGGAGGAGGAGGAGGACCGCAGAGAAATCATCAATATAAATGATAATTCCAACCCAAACCAGCAGGTTTTAAGGAACTGGGTGGTTTTGAGGATGGTGGGGGGCAGGGAGGGGGAAGCACACAGCAGTCAGCCCAGCTGTACCCTCTGTAGGATGCATTCTAAGAGAGAAAGGCAAGAATTAAGGTATTAGGATTTACTTAGAAAAAAAATCTACCACACAGTTCGTGTAAGCAGCTGCACTTCTTCAGTTAAGGCAGAGAACTATTAAATTTTTAGTGAATATTTTCCCTTACAGATATTTTGCTTGGGATCTATTTGATTTCTTTAAGGGAAAACTCATCTTCAGAAATTTGTTCCTTAAGCACTGATCCTTCATCAGTATTTTTCTAGAACGTGCTGGTTGCTTAACGATGTGACACGGCTTAATGATTTGGAGATCCCTAGATTCTTCCCTCCCACAAAGGAGGGTAAGACCTGAAATGTATATTAGGGAGGTTTGAGCTGCCCAGAACGGAGAAATCACTGCCTCCAGCCTGAAAATGCTGAATGTTTCTCTGCAGCAGAGAAAGGGAAGGGAGGGGGGAGAAGAGAGAGAGAGATATTGGAACACGGCAAGGACCGTGGAGCCATTTAGGATCCTCCCTGTGCTCCAACAACACAATTTACAAGGCAAAAATCGTACACAGAGTGGGTTTTCTCACCTTGTCTAATTACAGTGGCAATGTAATTAAACGAAGGCACAGCGTTATCTCGATGGCGTTTCTTATTTTAGACAAAATGCAGCATTTTTCTTAAAATATAGATCTGACTGGCTTCATCGTTTTGGGTACCGCTCTGTCTGCCCCTTGCTGGACAAACTGGTAAAAGAAAGAAATGCAGGAGGGGGGAGACTCCTTAATCATTTCTCTATCTGTTTGGGGTTTTTTTTTTGTGTTGTTTTTTTTCTTTTTCCTGTAGAGATTTGCCACACAGAAAAAAATAAATAAAAAATAAAAAGGGCATTAATAATGGTGATGTGAAATAGTGAGCAGAGAGAACATCTAAGATGAAGGGGCAGAAGGAACAAACAATTCGTACCAGCAGAGACTGCCTTTTACTGGCAGGGTATTTTTACAGCAAAAAAGAGTCGATTTAACTTCTGTATAAATATACACAGGACTTCCTAAATGTTTACCAATTCTTTTCAGCTAGGAAAGGCTATTTTTTTTTTTCAATTTATGGGGTTTGTACCATCAAAACACATGGTGCTGATTCCACCTGCAGACTCCTAAGGTCACGTTTCTCTTCGGCCTCATTTCCTGTGACATTTGGGAGTTTCAGCTCTTCAGGCAGGTGTTAAACCTGAAAAAAGGAAGAAAAAAAAAACCCACATGGAAAAATATTCCACGCACCGAAGCGTGTGTCTGTCCTGTTGTTCTGGGTGACAGTGGGCTCGGTGGAAGCCACCCTGAACCATGTCAGATGAGCTGTGAGGGTTCTGAAAATGTATTTACACCCCCTTCCCCAGGCAGAGCTGTGCTCTACGTGCTGCTTCCGCACGCAGCCGGGGCAATAAACCTCCTTTCTGAGCAGGAAACATCTACCCGTGAAAAACAAGACTATATTAATTGTCACTCCTTTCTATATGAACATACTCCAACCACAGGAGTGACCAGAACACCACAAGAAAAGAAAATTAGGAGTAATTAATGCGTTGGGTTTGAAATACGACTTCAACTAAGGCCTCTACAATCTTACCTGGCTCCTCACTTCAAAGAGCTTTCTCCCTCAATTTTTGTTGCTGACACCCTCCTTGGGACAAACCAGTGAAACCATTCACAGAATCACAGAATCTTCTAGGTTGGAAGGGACCTTAAAGATCATCTTGTCCAACCGTCAACCTAACTGACAAAAATAGACAAAAATAGACACCCACACAACAAACAAGGAGCATCATCTCTAAACCAGACCTCCCAGCACTACATCAACCCATCTTTTGAACACCTCCAGGGATGGGGCCTCAACCACCTCCCTGGGCAAAGTGGCTGTACATCTCGCCTCCTGCTCCACTGAGGAGATCTGTCTCCTGCTAGAGCTTTCTTTGTGGGCACAACTGAGGAGATCTGTCTCCTGCTAGAGCTTTCTTTGTGGACACGCAACCATAGAGTGGTTTGGGTTGGAAGGGTCCTTAAAGATCATCCAGTTCCAACCCCCTGCCCTGGGCAGGGACATCTCCCACCAGACCAGGTTGCTCCAAGCCCCATCCAGCCTGGCCTTGAACCCCTCCAGGGATGGGGCAGCCACAGCTTCTCTGGGCAAGAAGAAATGGAAACTAAATTTAAAAAGTCAAAGAAAGCACTTAAAAATACTGTATGTGGACAAATGCCAAACTAATAATCAAATACGATGCATGTAACTGTCCCTTAACAATCACCTCACCAACCTTGTGTCATCGCTGGTGTCCGAGAGAGGGACTGGTCACTCTTCACAGCCACCACGTGCAGCTCCATCTTCTCCCCAGCCACCGCTTGGGCCCTCCTTCTCACCACCTGGCAATTCTCCACCCTCACCTCCCCAAAGCGTGGTCACGTCCACAATTTGCCACCTATGCCTTGGTAATTGGGTTTACGAAGCAGACATGGGCTTTTGTCACGTGCTCCTGAGGACATCGCCCATCTTGCCCACACCTACGATGCCCAAGAACACCACCAGCAGAGCCACGACGGCACCACCATGAGACATCCATCACTGACGTCCCACCTCACAAAGTCACTGTGAAGTGAAAGCTGCTTCACTTGAAGATTGAACCAAAGAAGAACCTGAATTTCCTGCTAATTCCCAATACCACCCTTCTCCTAAGCGACCTACAGAGAAGAAATCCAAGCAAGAGGCAGTATTTCATGGGACCGTGTGGGGTTTTTTTTCCCCCTGCCTTTCCAATTTCATATTAAAGCTGGACCAGAAGAGTAGAAAATGGTTCTTTGCTTGTGATCAGCCAATTCCAACTATTTGACAGCACAGAATTTAGCCTAAGTTTTACTTTTCACCCCTCTAACTCATTATATAAACAGATTCCATAATGCCACCAGGGTGAAACTTGGTTACTGTTAGAACAAATGACGTGAGGAGAAAGGACCTGATTCCATTCAGTTTTCATGGGCAGCTTCCTTGAACTCCGGATTAACATCCATGCAAAAAAAGAAAAAAACAGCTTAAATTCCTTTAAGATGGGTACAATTTTATAGTTCCAGAAACGAAAGACTTTTGGATGTGTGGAAGAAGCTTTCTAACACAAACACTCCATTGCTGTCATACAGGAAACAGCATCTTTTAAAATGGCAAAGAGAGGAGGGAGACTGCAGAGTACTGCTTAGTCAAAAAATGACCCTGCAAATTGACAAACACAGCAGGAAAAATTGCCTTAATTACCCTCATAATGGTGGGAGGTGCCACCTTGGGGGCTTAAAGCAGGTACACCTAGCAGGGTGGCAGATGAATGCCTACAGATGCTTCTTTACCCTCAGCTGGGGCTAAGTTAGGGCTGTTCTGTCTCACAAAGCCACCTCTTTGAAACAGCGGTCACCTTCTGGCCCCGAAATAGCCAGCAACACCCCATCATCCATCAGGAAAAGGGAAACTTTACACATTTTTTTTTGTTTATAGAATCATAGAATCATTGAGGTTGGAAGAGACCCTTGGGATCATCGAGTCCAACCATCTCCCCTACTCTACAAAGTCCCCCCCTACACCATATCCCTCAGTACCGCATCTAAACGTCCCTTAAACACAGCCAGGGACGGATTTTAACCATCTTAAGTCTCAGTCTTCCTGGAAAGCATGAAATAAGAAGCATTAAAAAAAAAAAAATGACACCGAGGGCACTTTGTAAGAGAGTTAAGAGCGTATTCATTAGAAATGAAATAAAAAATACAGTGATGCTGCAGGAGAGGGGGCAGCAGGTGGACAAGCCCCCCCACCGTTCCCTACCCTCACCCCAATCCAAGGAACAATATAATACAAATTAGAGATCTCAAACCGGGGCGGGGGGAGAGGAAGGGTTTTACAAAGTGATTTTTCTTGCTGTACAGAAAATATATTATTTGCTGGAAGTCCCTGCTGAGCCGTCAGGGGGCCCAGGGTCAGTCACTGCTCAGGAAACCCACCCCCTTACTGCTTCCCCACCAGTTTGGTGAAGACGTCGTAGATCTCCGGCTTTTCCTGGGCAAACTGCTCGGTTTTGATGGTGTTTTTCTGGAGCCAGTCGGACGAACGCATCTGCTGCTGCAGGAGGCCAATGAGGTCACCAAGGTTGGAGCCACCGGCACAGGTAGGCTCCTGGTGGCGGGACACAAAAATGACTTCGTCGGTGCTGTCTGCTTTGCCCTCCTGATCCGACTGGCAAGGCTGCTCCTTCTCCTCAGCCAGGATCTCCTGCTCCCTCTCTTCCAAAACCTTGCGGATCCGCTGCATACCTGCGGGGGTGGGAGGAGGACAAACACCAGTGGATTAAGTTTAACCATGAACATCTGTGGCGGTGTGCTCTCCCTTGTTCACGGCCATCACAACAGCAGCTGTGATAACTTGCACCCGGTCTCTGGGGGATGGCTGGCAGCAGAGTCAAAATACTGTCTGGAGTGGGGACCTAGAAATTTTGTTGCCATGAAAATATGACTATAGGTCAATTATCTTACTGTATAAATAGTGGACAGCCCAAGAGCCCCTTTGAGCTCTCCTGTATGGCAGCAGGCTGCACGCCAGGATCTCCCCTTTGGTGAGGACGCTCACTGAAGGTTCTACTCCTCGAGGTTGAGGGAATCCTTGCCGCAACAGATTCTCAGTAAGTGACTAATAGCATGCTAAACTTTGAAATCTTAGCTAAGTAATGTAAAGGATTGATTGTGCATATATAATCCTTTAGACATAAACCGTTGACCAAGTCTGGGACTAGGATTGGATCCAGCCACACCCAGACTCCTCTCGGAGAAGGAGTTTAGAAAGCAAGGGGGTCCTTTCTGAACCTCGTGACTCAACGGGAGGGTCTCCCTGACAGCTTGTCTGACCCTGTCCTCTGTGCAGTAAATAATAGAGTGTACCCTGACATCGAATCTTGTAAACACTATCACATTTACCACTGGTTTTATCACATTACTGGTTTTGTTAAATCACTGTTTCACCTTAATAAATATTTCTCTGCTTCACTCTAACTAGTGAAGTTAATCACTCCGTCCGCGACAACATCACCAGATCGGTCAAATCTAGAAAAAAAAATGGAGGATGGAAGGAAAGGGAGGAAGAACGGAGAAGACGAGGATAATAATAATAATAGGGTGAGTTTAGGATGAAGGAGAGGAGGAAACAGTGCTGCAGGAATTCTGGTGGGAAGGAAAAGAGAAGAACATGCTCCTCACCTAACTGGAGCCGGTGGGTCTTGTCAGCAAAGATGATGCGGAACCATCCAGGTTCACTGCACTCAAAGGCTTTACCACAGGACAGGAGGACCTTGTTGTCCAGAAAACGCCTCCAGAGCAGCATCTCCTCCTCAAACGTGCCTGTCTTAAGGTACTAGGAGAGGCAGCAGAAGGGCCAGAGGTTAGTAACACAGAGGCTACCTCGCTGAGATCCTCATGAACTTGTGATTCCCATGAGGTCTGCAAAGGCCAGGGGAGACACCTTTTACCTCTGAAGCCCAGCAGTTGTGAGAGAAAGGAAGAAATGGGGAGGGAAGTGGCTTGAGAGCAGTGAGATTCCTGCAAAGAGGGAAATGCACAGACAGAGGGAAGGGAAAGAACGGAGGGAAATAACCAGGCAGCCCTTCCCTCTGCTCATCAGAGAACAGATTGGTTCAAACAAAAAACCCTTTTCAGGAGGTTAAACTTTCCTCTAGAGGCAGCTGCACCCAGTGCCTGCCCTCAGCCCCCCCTGGGAGCACCAACCTTTCGGAAATCAATCCAGACAAAGAAGCCCGCGTTGCGGTGGAGAAAAGGAACCCCCAGTGTCTTCAGCTCCTCCGTCACATACGTGTGGGCAGCTTTTAGGCGGGCACGGTTGGCCCTCAGGTACACCTGGTTGATCCAGTCTGACCAGAAGGAGAAGATAAAGGGGGGAAAAAAAAAAAATTAAAAAAAAAACCATCACAAACTGAGAAAGAATTCAGATCTGTTCAAGTTTCCAAAGCGCTCACTCATGGTGCCTTTTCCTATTTTCACCCTTCTTTTATCGTTTTCTGGTTCCCCAAACAGCAAACAGAGGAGCAAGAAGAACTATTTAGCAGTTTCACATCTGTCCAGAAGAATATCATAGAATCATCTAGGCTGGAAGAGACCCTCGGGATCATTGAGTCCAACCATCTACCCTACTCTAAAGTCCTCCCCTACACCATATCCCTCAGTGCCACATCTAAACGTCCCTTAAACACATCCAGGGATGGGGACTCAACCCCCTCCCTGGGCAGCCTGTTCCAATGCCCGACCACTCTCTCTGTGAAAAATTGTTTCCTAATGTCCAGTCTAAACCTCCCCTGGCGCAGCTTGAACCCATTACCCTTTGTCCTGTCGCCTGTTCCTTGGGAGAAGAGACCAACCCCCCCTGGCTACACCCTCCTTTCAGGGAGTTGGAGAGAGCCAGAAGGTCTCCCCTCAGTCTCCTTTTCTCCAGGCTGAACACCCCCAGCTCCCTCAGCCTCTCCTCACAAGACTTGTGCTCCAGACCCCTCACCAGCTTTGTTGCCCTTCTCTGGACACACTCCAGCACCTCGATGTCTTTTTTGTGGTGAGGGGCCCAAAACTGGACACAGCACTCGAGGTGGGGTCTCTCCTTCCCTTTCCTGAGGATGTTTCCCTACATTCATAGCTCTTAGCTGTTGTGGACCGTCAGCGCTCCGTCTGGGGCAAAGCTAAAAATCCACTTCCATTTCCCTCATCCCACAAGCCTGAAGTCCTTGTTTCTGCTCAGCTGGTTCTACCCAACGCTGGCTATTTCTATACAAAAAGCCACCACACTTCTTCAAAGCCGCTCCTCTAATTCTGCTGATCAGGAGCTCGGCAGAAACGGTCCTTTTCTGTAGAACTGTCAGCCTTGCGTTACACTGGCAGCTCCAGGATTGCAGGAGACCGTTAATTAAGCTTTACAACCAGAATCACAGAATCACAGAGAATCACAGAATCTTCTAGGTTGGAAGGGACCTTAAAGATCATCTTGTCCAACCATCAACCTAACTGACAAAAATAGACACCCACACAACAAACAAGGAGCATCATCACTAAACCATACCTCCCAGCACCACATCAACCCGTCTTTTGAACACCTCCAGGGATGGGGCCTCAACCACCTCCCTGGGCAGCCCATTCCAATGCCTGAGAACCCTTTCGGGGAAAAAATTTTTCCTAATATCCAGCCTGAACCTCCCCTGGCGCAACTTGAGGCCATTTCCTCTTGTCCTGTCACCTGTGACTTGAGAAAAGAGACCAACCCCCACCTCTCTACACCCTCCTTTCAGGGAGTTGGAGAGAGCAATAAGGTCTCCCCTCAGCCTCCTCTTCTCCAGGCTGAATAACCCCAGCTCCCTCAGCCTCTCCTCATAAGACTTACTCTCCAGACCCCTCATCACCATCTTTGTCGCCCTTCTCTGGACCCGCTCCAGCACCTCGATGTCTTTTTTATGGTAGGGGGCCCAAAACTGGACACAGGACTCAAGGTGAGGCCCCACCAGTGCCCAGTACAGGGGGACAATCACCTCTCGGGCCCTACTCCCCACACTGCTCCTGACACAGGCCAGGATGCTGGTGGCCTTCTTGGCCACCTGGGCACACTGCTGGCTCCTGTTCAGCCGACTGTTGACCAACACCCCCAGGTCCTTTTCTGCCAGGCAGCTCCAGCCACTCTGCCCCCAGCCTGGAGCGCTGCAGGGGGTTGGTGTGACCGAAGTGCAGGACTTGGCACTTGGCCTTGTTGAACCTCAACCAGGAAACCACTTGGGAAAGCACAGGTCCCAAGACCCACGGAAGAGCAGGGGACAAGACACGGAGCTACCGACTCACCTCTGTCTCTGAGCAGCTGGGCAACTTTGTGCTGGACAGGCCCACAAACCCCGTGGAAATAACACAAAGAACCCACCGCGTTAGCAACATCTTGGTTCTCTGTGTATAAAGTACCAAAACGAATCCCAGAGACAGCAAAATCCTGCAGGAGACACAGAGAGAGGCTACTTTATCACCCAGGAAGACCGGGGACTCTCTTATCACCGCCGCCTTCTTTCCAGCACGAGGGACCCAAGGATGCCAGGCCAGCCCTCCCAAGGCAGGGAGCCAGGATGGCAACCAGCACCCACCTTGCTTATTCCCCACATCACATGGGTCCTCTGGGGATCAGGCAATCTGTATGTAGAAGGATGCAGACGGGCAGTTAGTGTCATGGGCGCTGGGGCTTTTTGGATCACCAGTGCAGCATCGCAGAAACAGAGAGGCAGCGCGTTACACAGCGGCAAATGGTGCAGCTGGGAACATCAGTCAGGGAGGGAAAGCCCAAATCCCACCTCATTTTAGAAGCTAGGAACTCCCCAGAACTAGTTTTAGACACAATTTTTAAATACTTCAGATTTACAGACACTTGCAAGTGCTGTATTTCACATGTGGGTTTCCTGCAGGTATCAAGCTCATACACACAACGCTAGAAATTAGGGCTGTGCCAACGTATTTTCCAAGAATTGAAAGTAATTTTCTACCTTTGAAACCCTAATATTTTTCAGAAGGAGATCAAATTCTTGTTTTTTTAAAAGTTTTTTTCAACTTTTTTGGAAAAGTTTTCCCCTCTCATTAAATCAATACCTAATAAAACCCATTCTCCAGTGTGTAATAACACTGCGAGCCAGGACTACTGTATTAAAAAAAAAAAAAGAAAGTAAACAGCAACAGAAAGTCTTTACCAGGCATTAACAGAAACGTGGAAAAGAGGTAAAAATGTTTAGGAAGGAAGAAAAGTCTCGCTCTCAACAAACAAAACATCTGTTTCCAGTTTTGGAGGCGGCCACAAGCAAATACCAAAGGGCCCATGGAAAAGTCCACCACGACAGAAAACTAACTACCATTTTAACTTGTAAGATTGGGCTCGACCAAATGCATTTGCTGTTCAGCAATTACCAAAAAAAAAAGAAAAAAAAAGAGAAATCAGTGTAAGGCAGATTCAGAATTTGCGAGCTCATGACTTAACTTCCAGTCACAAGTTCTCAGCAAGGGCATCATGTTGAACTGTCACTGGAAGGTGGCCAGGGAAGTAGGAGCTGATTTTACCTGTCCATGCCTAGGACACTGTGAAACGTGGCTGAGTCGTCAAAAACTGACAGCATGTAGATCTCATCTACTATCACATGCAGTTCATGCCTGCAAAGGGACAAAACGGGGAGGTTAGGAAAGAAGGCTGCTCCCGGTTAGAGAGAGAGAAGCAGAGATAAATACAGGCCTCGCTTTATACCAAGAAGAGGGACACCAAATTTTGCAGAAGTAAAGCATTTTTTTCACGACTCAGAAGGTCTATTATAGAATCACAGAACGGTTCGAGTTGGAAGGGACCTTAAAGATCATCCAGTTCCAACCCCCTGCCCTGGGCAGGGACACCTCCCACCAGACCAGGTTGCTCCAAGCCCCATCCAGCCTGGCCTTGAACCCCTCCAGGGATGGGGCAGCCACAGCTTCTCTGGGCAACCTGGGCCAGGCTCTCACCACCCTCACACCAAAGAATTGCTTCCTGAGATCTCATCTAGACCTCCCCTCTTTCAGTTTAAAACCATTCTCCCCTCATCCTGTGGCTCCCCTCCCTGATCCAGAGTCCCTCCCCATCTCTCCTGGAGCCCCTTGAGGGACTGGAAGGGGCTCTAAGGTCTCCCTGGAGCCTTCTCTTCTCCAGGCTGAACCCCCCCAACTCTCTCAGCCTGTCCTCACAGCAGAGGGGCTCCAGCCCTCAGAACATCTCTGTGGCCTCCTCTGGCCCCGTTCCAACAGGTCCATGTCCTTCCTGTGCTGAGGACTCCAGAGCTGGACACAGAGCTCCAGGTGGGGTCTCCCCAGAGCGGAGCAGAGGGGGAGAATCCCCCCCTGGCCCTGCTGGCCACGCTGCTGGGGATGCAGCCCAGGATGGGGTTGTGTTTCTGGGCTGCCAGTGCACGTTGCCAGCTTGTGTTGAGCTTCTCGTCCATCAGACAAGAATAATTAAGTGTACATTGAAGCAATCTGAGATATATCCACCTGTCAGCCCCGGCAACCATAGAAGGAGATAAAAATTTAGTCATTTCCAATGCAGTGGGGAAGATTAACTCCTGCATGTACTACCTGTCTAGAACAAGCTGTATCATCATCCACTCAGAATCTCACAGATTCCCAATCTCAGAGAGCATCCATGATCCACAAAGAGCCTGGGAACCCATATTCATATATTTCTTTGTCTTTGCACATACAGAGAAACTGAGAGGAAAGGAATTCAGCTTCCTACCAGAGAAGCACAGTGTTTTCTAGGACTACCAACAAATAAAATTTGCATTCCTTGATGCAAATTGCTTTGCCATTCCAGACGACTTCATGGTCCGTGTTCCCTTGTCCCCAGGATTCCCTCTCCTCTCCTAAACCTACCGCTGTGTGTGAAGAACAGACTGTTTGCCTGACTTAAAAGATATTAGCAGATAAATTTAGGGACAGCAAGTGGTCCACCAGATTCTGGAAGCTGTATCGACTCAGGATGCCTCAGCCTTCCAAACTGACATACCTTTTAGCAAATTCCAGGTAATCCCGTAGCTCTGACAAGGAGTAGATGTCCCCAAGGGGATTTTGGGGATTCAGAAGAATTAAGGCCCTTACAGTGACACCCTGCAGAACACAAATAATGCAGTATTAAGAGAGTGGGATTCATGGGATGAATTTTCAGTCCCTCTACTGGAGCAGTGAGTGAGATGAGATTCCCCTTAATCTTCCAGCAAGACTTTGCACCTCAAAGCTTAGAATCAGAGAAACATAGAATTCTCTAGGTTGGAAGGGACCTTTAAGATCAGAGTCCAACCATCAACTCAACACTGATAAAAAAGCCACCACTAACCCATGTCCCTCAGCACCACGTCTGCCCAGCTTTAAATACCTCCAGGGACGGCGACTCCACCGCTGCCCTGGGTAGCCCGTTCCAAGGCTTGGTAACTCTTTTGGTGAAAGTTCTCTTCAGCATGGAAGAGAACTTCCTCTGAGCTGTATCAATAATCAGGAAGTAACAAATTACTGAAGACTGCCCGTGATTGAGGCAAGAAAGATAGGAATTTGAGCTAGGTGGATGCAAACTGTTCTCATTTAAAGCACACTTGGCTGGAGGTGTCAGAGCTGGTAATGACCTAATGATGCAGCAAAATATATACAGGGCAATGCCAAAACTTACAAACTAACTCTTCAGAAAGCTGATACTCATCTGCTTTTATCCTCAAGATTTGCACCTCTCTCCCTCCTGCTAAAACTCTTGGTGGGCTTAGCCAGGTTCATCCGGACCACTGTGCAGTGCAGTTTTGGGGTAACCCAGCTGGCCATCCTGAAGGACAAACCCTGAGCAGTCCCTGCTTTTTTGGTGCATGCCCAAGTAGATTTTGGTTGGTGTGAAATGAATGGGTCCTGGCACTTTGGGAATGACCTGGTACTCCTGGTTTATCCTTTCTGCTGTGACCAAAACTGGGCAGACACAACAGTGGGGGGGATTCCCCCTAAGAGCACCCCTGAGTTTGCAAGCAGCCTCAGCTCTACAAGGACAACCAGAAAGCCAGGTTTTGAAAATGTTTTGATCTTCAGGCCCCTCCTGGTACCTCTTGTCTCAAATATATTATAGTCTTAACTGGTAATAGGAAGCTCAACTGCTCTCACCTCTGCCCGGGCATCCTGCAAGGCCTTTTCCAGTTTCTCCACTGTGAGCTGAAAAGGCCGAGTGCTTGTTCCAGTAATCTGAAAGACACCACGAAGATAAAAAAGGCCAAGTTATTTCAATAGAGTCTGCCTTGAGCCAGTCCCCTGCGGAACGTTCCCCCAAAAGAAAATAAAAACCCAACAATAACGACCTAGCATCCATCTTCTTACCCTTTTACACTACAGAGAGAATAAATAAATAAATAAAATCAAAGAAATGTTCATCATAGACTGGCCACACACACAGAATTCTCTGGTTATCCTTGAACAGCTAAAACAATGCCAGATCTCCATCTGCTCTTCCACCCCTGGGACCATCTTTAGTAGGACAGTACATACTTCTGTCTCCAAGGCGCAAAATGCCCATTTTTTTTCCTCTCAAGAGCCGTTATTGGGAGTAAGATACAAGAAAAGGGCAAGACTGGAATCCAGATTTATGGTCTCGAACAACGTTCTTGCAGATTATGTGCCCAGTTTCCCAGCAATAAATTGGGAAAATGCCCACGGGCTGCAGCCTACCCTTGCTCTGAAGACTGCCTTCAGAGATTTCCAAAGCCCAGCACTTTCCAGTCTCAATTATTTTTTAACTACAGAGGTGGGTATTCCCTCCCCTCAGATCTTACCTTACTGTCTAAATAGGCATACACCAGCTTGACATTACCATAGAGGAAGACACTCTGGGTGATACCACCGTAAAAGGGAGTAGCAATCAGAACAGCTTCTGGAACCGAGGAAAACAAAATTGGTTACCAACAGATCACACTCCTTCTCTCTCTTCTAATGTGCTGCAGCTAAATGTGAGAGCTTTTTTACAGCTGTGCCCCCCTGGAAACACTCTAACGTCACTGCTTTTTCCTCCACTTTATTTCTACATTAATTTCTTTAGTCTTCTGCAAGAACCCAGGTAAACGTGAGTATAGCCCACATTTAGCCTGACAAACTAAAAGAGGGCATCATGAAAACAGTGAAGGCAGACGGGGTGGGACACCAAGTGTGAGTGCATGGCATCTGCAGACCATGGGGATGATGAATTTCACAGCACAATCTCAGAATCACAGAATCTTCTAGGTTGGAAGGGACCTTAAAGATCATCTTGTCCAACCGTCAACCTAACTTTGACAAAAATAGACACTCACACAACAAACAAGAAGCATCATCACTAAACCAGACCTCCCAGCACTACATCAACCCGTCTTTTGAACACCTCCAGGGATGGTGCCTCAACCACCTCCCTGGGCAGCCCATTCCAAGGGCTGAGAACCCTTTCAGTTAAAAAATTTTTCCTAATATCCAGCCTGAACCTCCCCTGGTGTCACTCTAGGCCATTTCCTCTTGTCCTGTTGCCTGTGACTTGAGAAAAGAGACCGACCCCCACCTCTCTACACCCTCCTTTGAGGTAGTTGTAGAGAGCAATAAGGTCTCCCCTCAGCCTCCTCTTCTCCAGGCTGAATAACCCCAGCTCCCTCAGCCTCTCCTCATAAGACTTATTCTCCAGACCCCTCACCAGCTTTGTTGCCCTTCTCTGGACCCGCTCCAGCACCTCAATGTCTTTTTTATGGTAGGGGGCCCAAAACTGGACACAGTACTCAAGGTGAGGCCTCACCAGTGCCCAGTACAGGGGGACAATCACCTCTCGGGCCCTACTCCCCACGCTGTTCCTGACACAGGCCAGGATGCTGGTGGCCTTCTTGGCCACCTGGGCACACTGCTGGCTCATCTTCAGCCAACAGTCGACCAACACCCCCAGGTCCTTTTCTGCCAGGCAGCTCCAGCCACTCTGCCCCCAGCCTGTAGCGCTGCAGGGGGTTGGTGTGACCCAAGGGCAGGACTTGGCACTTGGCCTTGTTGAACCTCATCCCGTTGGTCTCGGCCCATCTCGCAGGAAACAAAAACTTTCCAACAGGCCGATGTCAATTCCGCTCCTTCATTCCCATCAAACGGTATTTCAATGGAGTAACACCTTATTTACCAGCAAAAACGAACATTAAAAAACATCTTCCAACCATCCACTTACCCCCTGGATCACAAAGGACTGTAGCTAACGCAGAAAACAGCGAGCCACAGCCATTTAAAACAATCACCTACAGAAGAAAGAGAGAGGGCAGTGATAAATCCATCCATAGCAAGACAACGCTATAAAATAATCATTTTTGACCATAGCACTGGCATATATTTTCTCCCCAATTCCCTAGCATGGACATCCCCAGATTTTTCCTGCCAAAATCCCACTTTTACCAGAAATACTTTTAGTCCTGTTCTTTGTTTCAGAGACCCTTTGTCCCAGCGCCGTTCTTGATTCTAACAAGCACTTCAGAAAAAGAGTAGGCTTGAAAGTAGAGAAAAAACTGGGGAGCAGTTCTGAACTGCTAGAAAAGCAAACTCCTTTTCATCACCTAATACGTGTTATCTGACCTTCTGCTGAATTTGGACAGAAGTGGAAAACACCATCTCATAAAGGAGCGGGTTTGACTCCTTGTAGAAGAGTTTCCATCCAAGTATCAGGCAGAACCTGCTGCCTTGGAGGAGCAGGGACCAGCAAAGTGATTGCTGGTAACTTTGCTTCGTGAAAGAGGGGTTTCTGCTGAATTATTGCAGCCAAAAAACCCCATTTTGCTGCACCAGCTCCCCCTGCCCTCAGCAGAGCCAGGAGTCCCCAGTCCCTGCATCCCTCCCAAGCCAGCAAGTCCTGCAGAGACCCAGGGGCTTGATACCTTCCTGACATCACTGCTGCAAAGCCTGGAAAAGGTCTGTTTGCACAGACTAAACCACCTCTTGGCTTAATTACAGATTTTTGCCCTGAGAGGTAAGAGCAGAACGGGATGAAACTAAGCTTGACTGAAACACTGGGTGCTCTTTGTGGAGGCTGGGTGGCTGGACAGGCACAGTAGGTCCTGGAGCTGAAGGAGGAGGTGACAACACAAAGCCCCGCCGAGAGCACTAGCAAAAGCACAGCACGACGCAAATATACAAGAAACCTGAAGCATTTGGGCCAAAACGTGCATCAAAAGCTGCTGAAATGGCTATGAATCAAGCTCATTCACATGATAAAAGGCTGTCATCGTACTAAATCATTTGTTTTTAAATAATAATAAAAAAAAGGATGAAAGTGTTTGACAACAAACGGCAATACATTCGAAAAAAACACCAATGGAAAGTGGGTTACCCACATTTTCTGCCTTAAGAGGTGCAGGGGCCTTGCAGTAATAGGTCAAAAATCGAGCCACTTCCTCCCGTAAACTGAGAAAGACACAAAAGCAAATATTGATTCAGCTTATTCTGCAAGAGGCTGGGCTTCCCCCAGCTCCACGTCTCGGGAAAATAAAGCCAGGGCAACAGCAAAGTCCGGTGAAAACAGCTAGAATAAGAGGATAGCTCAGGCCCGTGCCACAGACATGACTTTTACACAGGGCAAAGGCGTCACGGAGAACGTCTAGAACATTTCTGATGAGATTTCTGATGAGATTCTGATGAGATTCTATGATTCTATTTAATCAAGGCACAGAAGAACAGGATTAAAGTCCCCAGGCTGTTTCAAAGAACCGCTTGGAGTTACCCGATTTGTGAATGTACACAGTGCTTTGAAAACTGTGTTTGCTTTAGAAAACTCACACCTTCCCTCACAGAAAAGGATTTTGGCGGGGCAGCTAATTTACAGTTTTGCAATGAGAAGGATGATTAAACGGGCTAGAAAACTTTTGAGTAGTGAGTGTAGCAGAAGCAGTTTACATTCCTCCATTCTGCTTGTCAGAGAAAGAGTCAGAAAAGGAAGAATTAGAGAAAAGAGAAGACTTACAACATGTGTCCCTTCCAGTCTGGATACTGAAGCAGGGGAGGCTCCATCAGATTCATATCGGTCTGTGTCAGCTGGGAGCAAGCAGAAGAACCATTAAAAGCACAATCACAGAGATGGGAAACACGGAGATGGATGGGATCCACGTGCAGGCACGTACCTACACACACACACACACACACGTGTGACTTCAACAGCTCTAAAACTGGATTGAGAAAGCCACCGACCACCAAAAAAAAAACAGGACTGCAGCTTGGAGAAGCAAAGGGTCAGCAAACGGCTCAGCGATAACTCTGGTTTGAGTGACTACAGGCTCCTGTTGAGTTATCGCAGCCAAAACTTCGCTGGGGAGATCTACAAGGAGGAGGCAGAACGGGCAACACACACGATGCCCGTAACCAAGCTGCCTCCAGAAGACTTTCTCAGCCAATGAGGCAACCCAAAGGGGCCCAAGGAGCACTTTGGCCAAGCCCTGAGGACCACAGGAAGCAAGTCCCAATTGTGAAAGCTCAGGTCTAGCTTGTCGGAAAGAGACAGGAAGGATTTTGAATCACAGTCACTATTTTCTCTAATAAACCTGTGATAGGTTTATTTTTAAACGATTTTTAGCTTTCATTTATGCCTCAGTTCCAAGTTACTGCAGCTCCTTCAGATCTATAATTCTGATAAGTTTTGATAAGTGTTAAAGCGTAACGGGAGCTTTCAAAAGAGAGAAGAAAAATGAAATTATCTTCTTGATAATTCTTCCCCGAGGCAGGCACTTTGTTCCTTATTAAGAGTTAATTCTGATCTCCAAGACAGATTCACCTGAACTGTGGAGCCCTTCTTAATGCTTATATTTAGATAAAGTGACCGCACTACTTTTAGCTAAATATTTTTGAGGTTGTAAGTATCAGGGTTTCACATAATCCAGTTCTATGAAGTTGGAAGGGAAAGCACGGTGGTGATACAAGCAGAGAGGACATTTTACATTAACAAAAAGGGAATAAACGAATATTATGTACAATATACCTTCCAAATATTTCACAGCAACCAAATCTATGAGTTAATATTAAAAAAAAAAGGTGAGAGTGGGGAGACACAACAAGTAGGTGATAGTGCAGGGAAGAAGGGGAATTCAACATGCAGCGTGAAAGTTTCTCACATAATAACAAAACCACAACACTCTGCATCGGTGTTTTAATAACTGGTGCCAAGCTCTGGAGTTTAAAGACACTGTCCTTATCCCATGCAGAATTACAACCTGGTATTAAAGGATTAAAGTTCCTTTAGTCAGCTGTAGATGTTCTTGAAGCCTACGTAGCACAGAACTGTGCCTCCTTAGATCTCTCTCCTAAAACTTCTCTAGAGAATGCAACATAAAACACATCAGCAGACGTGGCCAGAAAGGACTATACAATAATAAAGAGGATAACCCTTAAAAGTAATTCATTAAGGGTGAAGGAAACCAGATGGGCCAAACGAAAGGAAGACCAACCGAGATCTCACGCCACAAAATATTCTCTAGTTTAGGGGTCAAAAGTTGAAGACAGGAATCTGATACGTTGCTTTTACTCAGCAGAAAGAGTTAAGCAGTTATTGCCCCAACTAATTATTTGCCTGCAATCCCAGCTGGTGCATCCACAGGGCTGCCACCACTGAGAAGCTGGCAACCATCTCCTCCTCCTCTCACTACAGCCCACAAAGCCTTCACTCGTTTTCATAATAAGCCTAATTGAGACCGCGTGGCTGACTACCACCTCCCCCTGCACTCCTGGGGTTAGTTTGAAGGGGAAAGGACAGCGAAGGAAGGAAGGTACCACCTCGAAAGGCACCTTTTTCCGTGCTAGGTGGCAGCTCTGCCTTACCTGTTCTTTTAGCTGGAAGGCGGAGCGGCGGGGTAGCGTCCCCCCGAGGCAGTGGAGTGGCAGGCAGAAATAAAACAAGGAACATTTTGAGGCTGGGAACCGGTTGGAAAGGGAGCAACCACGCACTTCAAAACCGCAGAGACCGACTGGCCCAGCCTGAGCCCCCTTTCCCTCCCCGCAGGCAGCTTCAGGCAGGAGATACCACCGCCTGCCCGCCCCCCCCGGGCTGCACCAGGGCAGGGGTTTTAAGGAAAAAATCAAAGAAACATTCCTCTACGGCACGGTTCTGTTGGGGTTTTTTTTGACTTTTTACTCATTTTTGAGTGGAACAGTTTCATGCCTCTCCCTGGCGGCGCTGGCAGCAGCCAACCCGCTCTGATTTTGAGAGATTTCATCCTCACACCTTCCAGGTGAACTCAGAACCAGGTGTCCCAATTGTGTGACTTTATAAGGGACAGCTGTGAAGATCCTTGAAATGAAATAGAATCAACTGCTGTCAGCAAGAGCTAATGAAATGCATCTTATTTTCATGCGGTTTTCCGAGCCAAGTACCTCCCCCAAAGGGAAACAAACCCCATTGTGAAGAGGAACAGAAAAACACCCTTGTTCCTACCCTCCTGGAAAAAAAGCATCAATAAATGTACAAATAGCTGGAATCAAAAGTTACTTCCAACAAATTAAAAAAAAATAAAAATCAGGATGAAAACCAGAGAAACCTGAGCAACAGCAATAACCCTAGGAAAGGGCAAGCACTAAGGAGGAATTACACAGCAAATACAGTATTTTTTTTCTTTTTGGGATAGGACTCACCCGCTTAGACATCAGGTCAAAGCAGAGTTTATTCTCACTGGTGCCAAAGTTTATTATGCCCTAGGAAAAAATAAAATAAAATAATTATTTATAGACACATAA